GAAGAAGATCGATGGAGAAGAAGGAGAGAGAAGGAGGAGAAGAGAGGAGTTCGTGAATTCCTCTCCCGACCTAGGGCTTTCGCCCCCCAGTCGAGCGTGTCGAAAAATATATCCCCGAACGTCCCAAAATCTGCTACTTTAAAACCTGATTTCGCGCGCATCGCTGGCCGCGGAGATTCCCGCTGGCCGCGGTGAAGAAAGCCTCCGCGGCCGCGACTTGCTCCGAGGCCGCGGTGAAGAAACCCTAATATTTTTCTAACCCTATTTTCCTATCACAGATCCTGTATTCTTTCGCCTCTTTTCGGTTGAGAGAAAGTGAGATAGAGAGGAGAGATGACCTTGAAAAACCCTAATTAATCTTCCGCTTCTTTCGGTTGAGAGAAAGGAGAGAGATTGTTCGCTTCTTTCCTGTGCTGAAGTTTTGGGACCTGGCAGATTTTGTTCGCCGCGGCCCGCGGTGAAGAAATGGTCGCGGCCCGCGGCGAACAAAACTGGGCTGCACTGCACCATCTTACGGTTTTTGCTTGTTCGGGCTCGTTTGGACTCGGAATTGAGTTCCGTTTTTTCCTACGCATCGCTAACGAGCCCCTCTTTCTAATGGTGTCAGCTTCTCTAAAAGATTCTTGAAAACCTGTTCTCCCAGGATCTCTAAACACACACCAAAAACGAAAACACAAACGGAAGACTACCAGCAAAAACATAAGAATTACCGGGGCACTCAAGACAACACAAAACACACGATAAATGACAAAATGAACCTAAAACCAATCAAATGACTCGAAATAGGGAAAAAAGAATGAGAAAATGACAACAAAAAAACGCAACAAAAATGGGACAAACAGACACCCTAAAAGCTAAGGATATGGCGGCTGGTTCCACAATCATCTCGCATGCAGGTCGCTGTCAGCGACATCTATTTGCATCTTCGTTTCCCGGCCGCCGCTACTCTCGTGCGTGCTACTGTTTTCTTCGACACAACAAAGCACTAGGTATTGTATTGCATTTTACTATTTTTTTACCCAATCTTGTAATTGTTCTTCCAGTTCCGACTTTCTACAGCCAGCCTCACTCCAGGCCGGCACACCGCACATGTACGAATCGTTTTGTTGTGAACGAATGAGTTATCTCCTAGAAGATCGATGGCATCATCATGATCTTTCTAGCATCTATGGACCATCGTGGCTGTATGGATCTTTTGGGGCCTTGGTGTAGATCATGTATATGTCGATCCCCACTGGATAGTTGATACAAATCCCTACCCAGAAGAGATCTATATATCTGCATCACTGCATGCATGATGCATCTATATATAGCTCAGACCTATGACTATTAGGCTATGATTTTGTATAGCGGGTGTATTGCTTAATTATTAATGGTTTAGCTTAGGTAGTTGTGAACTAGCTATGTACTTGGCTCGTCTCGTTAGCTAAGTACCTAAGGAACTCAATGTTTTGTGTTCTTTTTAATTTTTCTTGCAACTTTGCTTTATTAATTATTATTCGTCATAAAGAGTTGAGTAGAAGCATGTATTATCCGACTATATAAATCCGCATCCGATCCGCTTCCGCTCCGAATCCGTACCATCTCTGATATCCCAAACAATCCGCATCCACATCCGTATCCGCCCAATATCCGCTCCGCTCCAAATCCGCAAAAATAAAATGGATTAGGATGTGGGAAAGGCATTATCCGCACCGCACCGCACCGTTTTCATCCCTAATCACCGAAGACCTAGGTTACAACAACGATCAGTGAGTCTCATAACTTTATCTTTCCGTGGGCCTGTTCAACACTTAACATAAGTGCTAGTGTAATTCTTCAGTCAAAGACCAACTGAATCAATAATATACTACAGTCTTTTTCCAAGAGGGGTCTCACTGCCTGTCTAGACTGTGAACTAATAGTTTAGTCTTATAAGAAACTGATAGGTGATCTTTCTATTCGAAATACTCCAAACCACACTATCTCAATATAAGACATGGAGTATAATTTGCATAAATAAATAAACTGCAAACATAAATACTTTGACTGAAACATTATGGTCAGATCAAAATAGAATTGATAGAATTTGAAAAACATACCTATGTGTGTATTAGGTGGAGTGATGTGGTGAAGACTTGTATGTAAGAACATCGTATTTTATTTTGCTACTAAATTGGTGATTTCTTTTAGTTGGATATAAATTCTGGCCCTTTTGGGAACCCTCAAACAACGGACGAGAGGCCATCTTCCT